GCTGGATGCGCTCCAAGCCGCCCCCCGCCACATCCAGGGCCACCTCCGCGCCGTAGAAATCCAGCATCAGGTTCTTCGTATCCATCCAGTCGGCCTTCTCCAGCCGCCCCCAGGGAATGCAGCTCCTGCCCCGCAGGTCTCCGTGTGCCAGTGCATCCCGAAATTTCTTAAAATCCAGCTCAGGGAGGTCTTCCAGGGCCCGGAGCAGCAGCTCCCCAGCTAGGGGGGAGCTCCCCCGGGGGCTGCCTCTGCTCGGGGCACAGTTCCTGCTGCTGCGCGCCCCCATGGGAAGAGCCCTGGCCCCCGGCTAACACACAGCCCCGTGCCTGTGATGAGGGTGGATGAGGTTTTGGGGAACCATCCCGCAAGGAACCTCCCCAGCCCCACAGCCCAGCCCCATCCTGGTCATGCTGTCTCTGCCCCGGGGGAGCTGTGTCCCCCCCTGCCCCCAGCCTCATCCTCCTTGCTCCACTCCCCGGGGGCCAGGGCTGTGGGGCTGGGCGGCCCCAACCAGGCACCATCGTCCCTGCTGCACCCCTGCTGTGCCCCCAGCCCAAACCACCCCCTCCAGCATGAGCATGAGGAGCCGGGGGGCAGCAGCCCAGGCACTTGACACCAAACCTCGCTGGAGCTGTGTCCCACCACATGAGCAGACTCCCTGTTCTGAGAGCTGTGTCCCCACCAGGAGAGCTGTGTCTCCACCAGGGGAGCAGTGTCCCCACCAGGGGAGCAGTGTCCCCAGCAAGAGAGCTGTGTCCCCATCAGGAAGACCCATGTCCCCACCAGCAGAGTGGCGGCCCCACCAGGAGAGCCGTGGACCTACCAGGAGAGCAGTGGCCCCACCAGGAGAGCCGTGTCCTCAGCAGGAGAGCACTGTCCTCAGCAGGAGAGCGACGTTCCCCCAGGGTCACAGCCAGGCAGCCAGCCCTGCTCCCAGGCAAGGCTGCCTCGGGCTGTGCGGGACACACCGTGCAGTGGCACCGAGCTGGAGGGGTTTGCGGTGAGAGAGGGGCAAAGCCTGATGAGCTGCACGGGCGCCCCAATTTACCGTACAGGCAGGGTTTCACTTTCAAAGCGCGCTGCTGTTTCCTTCCCTCTTAGGTCAAGGTTCTCACACTTCACATCCTTTCTGCACCTCCTTTACTGTCCCCTTTTCTTCTCTTTTCTCCTCAGCACCAACTCCTGCCTTCCCAGAGTGCAGCGGAGGCTTGTGCTGAAGGCACGGAGACCTCGGTGCC